TGAGGAGAGTTTGAGTCAGTTGGGCCTGTTCTCATTGGAGTTTAGAGGAATGAAAGGCGACCTTATTGGATTCTTAGGGGAGACCTGACAGGGGGAGATGGGGAGGGGTTGTTACCCCCTTGAGTGGGAGAGTCTAGGACCAGAGGGGGCATCATCTCAGAGTGAGGGGGTCGCCCACTGAAGACGGAGATGGGGAGGAATTTCTTCTCTCTCCGAGGGGGGGGGGAGTGAATCTGTGGAATTCTTTACCGCAGAGGGGTGGGGGTGCTGTCGAGGCTGGGTCATCGAGGATATTCAAGGCCGAGATAGAGGGATTTTTAATCAGTGAGGGAATCAAGCTTTGTAGGGAAGAGGCAGGAAAGTGGGAGTTGAGGATGATCAGATCAGCCGCGATCTCACTGAATGGGGGAGCAGACTTGACAGGTCAGATGGACCACTGCTGCTCCCATATCTTCCAACTGCGCTATCTCAATACTTAGTCCTAACCTCCTTCTCTCTCCCAACAGTTGATTACCACACCGCGGAACACCACCTTCCGACAGCCTTCCATGTAAGAATCTGCTGACGTGATGTTTCTATCGGAGCATGGGGGATGTCTTTATACCCACATTGCAGTAGTTTTCCATCCTCTCGTGTCCCCTTTCTCATGTGTAGCCCGTGTGCAAGCCTTCAGCTGCGATAACTTCTGTGTCTTACCCTCAAGTTTCAAACAGAGCGGGAAGTTCCAGTTCCTGTCTCCACCTGGCCCAAGCTGATCTGGGTGGGGGGCAAAGGCTTACGGAAGGCCACTGTGCTCTGTGGTGCAGGGAATGACGAAGAAGGTGTCGACCCAGTATCGTGATCCTTCTCGTTGCCCCGCTGGGCAGCACAGTGGCTCGGCAGTTACGGCAACAGGGGACCCGGGTTCGATCCCACCCTCGGGCGACTGTCTGTGTGGAGTTTGCACCTTCTTCCCCTTGTGTCTGCGTGGGTTTCCTCCGGGTGCCACGGTTTCCTCCCGCAGTCCAAAGATTTGCAAGCCAGGAGGATTGGCCATGCTAAATTGCTCCTGATGTCTGGTAACGTACAGGTTAGGTGGATTAGCCATGGGAAATACAGGGTTATGGGAATAGGGTGGAGGGTTGGGTTTGGGTGCAACGCTCTTTAGAGGGGTTGGTCCAGACTCAATGACCTGTATCCGCACTGTAGGGATTCTGTGAATAAGGGAGTGTAAATTGGGATTGAGGATGGCTGTCATTTTCCAACCCCCCCCCCCACCCCCCACCAACAGCAGGGCAGACCAACACCCTAACGCTTCTCGCTCAATAAGATTGCATGTGGAACAGTGCGGGATTGACGTGCGAAAGGTGCCATGCAAAACCCACCTCCCAGCACGTGTGTCAGGAAGGTTGGGGGTGTGGGGGTTAACTTGGTGGCTGCAGACACCCCCCCCCCCCCCCCGCTCCTTTCTTGTAGTTTGTTCCTGTAGCTTGCGGTTCAGATCGCCAGGAGATTGCCACACGGTTCTAGAGGAGGGAGAGTGTTGGCACCCTCATAACCAGAGCAGGGGTGGGGGTAATTGTCCTGTATTTGCTCACCAAACTGGTTATTCTGTGGTGTGCAGACGTTTCATCATCATTCGAGGCATCAGTGTGACCTCTTAATCGAAGCGTTGGTGTTCTGCTCCATTCCGAATTTATGTGATCCTCTGGTGTAGAGGGTCTTGTCACTTCCGGTTCTGTTTTTTATCGGGGGTCTGTATACGGGGTTTATTTCTATTTGTTTGTTAATGGAGTCCCATGTTGAGAACCAGACCTCCAGAAATTCCCCAGCACGTCTGCTGTTCGTTTGTCCCAGTATTGTCGCTTTATCCCAGTCGAACTGATGGCCTTCATTGTTTGTGTGTATCGAGACAAGTGAATATTGGTCGTGTCTTTTTATTGCCGGTTGGTGTTCGTGTATCCTGGTCATCAGTTTCCTCCCCGTTTGTCCAATGTAATTTTTATTGCACTCGCTGCATGAGATTCTGTACATCACGTCAGTCCTGTTTACTGTCGGTATGGCGTCTTTGATAGCATTTGACGCAGTGTTGACGTAGGTTTGTGGGCAATTGGCCGATGCCTACAAAACAAATGACAGTCAGAGGACACAGTACAACAAAAGACACTAGTAACACTACCCGACATCAAAAATATATCAGAAAGGATTACCAGACTCCTAAGACCACATAGATCATGACTGCACACAAACCTACACCAACACTGCGCCAAATGCTATCAAAGACTAAAGACCACACACCAACAGTAAACAGGACTGACGTGATGTACAGAATCTCATGCAGCGAATGCAATAAACGTTACATTGGACAAACGGGGAGGAAACTGATGACCAGGATACACGAACACCAGCCGGCATTAAAAACACACGACCATTGGTCTCAATACACTCAGATAAAAAACAGAACCGGAAGTGACAAGACCCTCTACACCAGAGGATCATATAAATTCAGAACGGAGCAGAACACCAACGTTTTGATTAGAGGTCGCACTGATGATGTTGCCTAGAAGGGTAACGAAGTGTGTGCACACCACAGAACAACTGGCTTAGTGAGCAAACGAACAACTGCATCCCACAACCCGAGCTACATATTTTCACTAATCTCTTTGTTGCAGCCCACCCTCTAGAAACGCCGTGGTGTAGGAGCGGTGGAGCGAGCAGGGAGGCAAGGGGCGGCAGAGGGGCTCCAGGTGCCGCAGCCACGAGGAGGGGGCTGTCCAGCATCGGCTGGCGCAGCGGGGGGTGGGGGGTGAGCAGCGGCGGCAGACAGGAGAGGCAGATATTTCTCTGTCTCCCAGTCGGCACTGTGGTCAGAACCTAATAAAATAAAAAGCTTGGTTAGTGCGGATCCTGGCTCTCCTGCTGTGTTCTTGGTTTGGCTGGGGGGAGTAGCAGTCAGTGGCAACTTGGTCTGGCCTTGTGGAGCTCCCCCCACCCACAGTCCTGCCGTTCTGGGTTTCGTGGATGGGAGCAGGAAGGCAAAGCCAACAGCATTTACGGTACATTGCAGGCACAGTCTGTGGCAACAATCTGATCACGGTTGCAAATGACTGTCCGAGAGTGTGACAGTGCAATAACTCTTACCTTACTACGGTCAAGAGGTATTAACATGAATTACAGAATGGTTATAGCCACGGGAGCCATACCAGCTCTGTGCACTCAGCCAGTACCTGCTGCCTCACCTTCTCGCTGTAGCCCTGCGTTCTTTTTCTGTCTTTCTCAAGATATTTATCCAAATTCCATTTGAAAGTCAGGCCTGAATCTGCTCGGGGTGTTCCTGATCCAAACCAGGATTTATTCTTCCACGGGATTATGGGCACTAAATGCATTTGAGTGGACGCAGGGGTGAGCTGCCTTCACAAACTGCTGCTCAGTGGGTTTGGGACATGGGTACTATGAGTTCCAGCCACGCTGAAGGTACAGTGACTTAGGTTCAGGATGATGTGCAGCTTGAAGGGAACCAGGATGGTGTTCTCATGTATCTGCCTATGCTCTTCAAGGTGGTAGAGGTCACAGGTTTGGAAGGTGCAGTTGAAAGACTCTTGACAATTCGCTACAGTGTGTCTTGTAGTTGGTACATGGTGGAGGGAATGGATGATTGTAGATGTGGTGTCAATCGAGCAGGGGCTGCTTTGTCGCTGGTTGGTGTCAAGCTTCCCGAATGTTGTCGGAACTGTTCCCATTCAGGGCCAGTGGGGAGTATTCCACAATTCTCCTGACTCATACTGGGTCGCTAGGGGAGAATAGGGCTTTGGGGAGTCGGGAGGTGAGTGACTTGCTGCAAGATTCCCAGCCTCTGACCTGCTCTTGTAGCCCCTGTGTTTATATGGTTTGGTCCAATTCAGTTTCTGGTCAGTGATAACTTCCGTCCCCAGATATGAATGATGTCAAGGGGAGATAGTTTGACTCTGTTGTCGTTGGAGACGGTCTGACGCTTGTGTGACATCAATGTTACTGGCCAGTTATCAGCCCAAGCCTGAAAGTTGTCCAGGACTCACTGTATTCAAACATGGACTACTTCAGCATGTCTGGGGTCATGAAGGGTATTAAACAATCAGTGAACGTCCCCGCTTCTGACCTTAGGATGGAGGGAAGGTTATTGGTGAAACAGCTGAAGATGTTTGAGTCTAGGACACTACCCTGAAATAACTCTTGTAGTGATGTCCCAGGATAGAGAGCACTGACTTTGGTCAACTAGACCCATCTTTCTTTCCTGAAGACCTTATAGACAAGAGTTTTTGGAACCAAGTCAGTGCCAGTTGTCCCTCATCATGTTCCCATTTAGTTGCCGGAACATACACTTCAGCTGTCTGGGCAAACCTTAATATTTCTTACTGGTAACGCTGTGGACTGCAATTCTTTATGTACCTTGGCTTTTCTATCTAATGTTACAACCCAGTTCCAACTCCCTTTTCTCAACTTAGATCAACACAACCCGAGCAGCGCTAGCAAACTGGCCACCAAGGGCGTTGCTCCTGATCCTGTTGAGGTGCAATCAGTCCACTCGTCCAGAACAAGTCCCAGTGTCTACGAAATCTTAAGTTCTCAGTCCTGCACCATCTCCCCCAGCCACCATGAAAAGCTACTGGACATGTACATAAACAAATTGAGCAGGCAAATGAAATGCAAGTTCTGGATCTTTCAGGGGACACTGTAGGAATTTTACTCTGTATCTAACCCTGTGCTGTCCCTGTCCCTGGGAGTGTTTGATGGGGGGGACAGTGTAGAGGGAGCTTCACTCTGTCTCTAACCCCATT